CCTGCCTCTGCCTCCCCAGTGCTGGGATTAAAGGCGTGTGCCACCAACGCCAGGCTCACTCATTATCATATCTCTTTGTTGATATATTAAAAACTTTACTGTTATTGGTTTTTTAAATTTTAGATGGTCATGTTGATATACTTTTTCAGATAATATTATAAAGATTTTTCCACTTCAAAAATATTTATCAAAGTTTTTTTTCAGTATATAATGAATTAATGATTGGCTGATGGGCAGGTCAGGGTGGGAGTGTCTTAATTATTAATTAACATGAGAGGGCCCAGTCTACTAAAGATAGCACCATCCTTGGGCAGGTACTTCAGGGATGTGTAAGAAAGCAGTATTTCTCTATTTTTCTGCTCCATGTTCCTGTCCTGAGTTCACACAATGATGAATTGTGACCTAAAAGACAAAAGAAACTCCTTCCTCCTCAAGTTGCTTTTGGTCATAATATTTTATCATAGCAACAGAGGAGTAACTAGAATAAGTTTTTTTTTTGTTTGTTTGTTTTAAATATTGGTGTTGGAGACTGAACTGGAACAGCATGCAGTTATACCTGACATCTTTTATTTTTGCTTTATTTTTCTTTTGTACATGAGGTCTTGCTATGTAGCCTCATCATCTGCCAGGTGTGGTGGTACATGCCTTTAATTCTAGCATTTGCAGGTAGGCAAATCTCTGTGAGTTTGAGGCCATTCTAGTCTACATATTTACCTTATCTCAAAACACAAATATTAAAGAAGCTCATGATTCTCCTGCCTGAGACTCATGAATATTAGGATCATAAGTGTGTGCCACTGTACCTGACTCCTGGGGTCTTTTTGAAGCCACCCCATAGAACTCTGGTGAAACTGACCATGAAATCAGTAGTCACTGTAGATAAAACACCAGGCTGGGGCTGGAGAGATAGCTAAGTGGCAAATTGTTTGCCAGCTAGCTTGAGAACCTGACCAAACGGTCTAGCTGAACTGGAAAGCTCCAGGTTCAGTGAGAGACCCTGTCTCAAAGAAGAAGGGGAGAGTGATAGAAGAAGACACCACACCTGACACTGACCTTCGGCCTCCACATTCACACATAAACATACATGCATGTACACTCACACACACAGGCATACCGTACATACTCATATCATAAACCCACCCACACTACACACCATGCCCCTTGGGAGCAAACCTAGCCACTTACTTGAAACTATAAATCTAGTTAGTGCCTCCTGCTAAAAGTATGTGCATTTCCTCATGCTAGTGCTAAAATTTAACATCTTAATTTAACTAAAGAGTTTTTAAAATCTGACTAACTCAGTTGGAAATAACAAGCTCAGGCGTCCTCATAGCTTTTACAAGAAATCTGACTTTCATTAAATTGTTCCATTAGTGGAGACAGTCTGGGATAAAGGCAGCCATTAGGAAGCCGTGGCTGCCATCAGTCAGGTGCGGCATTGGTGCATTGCACTGGTCCCAGCCGAGCCCTCATCCGAATGCCTGGACTCCAACTGTGACAGACTTTTAGAGATTTTTGAATTCTGGAATATCTATATAGATGGCACTGGAAAGTCTGGAGTACTCTAGAAAGCCTAACTTTTTGTTCCTTTTAGTGCTGGGATGGAAACCACATCCATGCACATGTTAGCACGGATTCTGAGAGACCCCGGCCCTGGGCAGGCTTAACTTTTTCAGTATTTACAGTTTTACATGTCAAGAGTATTTCAGATTTTTTGATTAGGGATCTCAGTTCCTTGCTTTATGAGGCACTGTGGCAATAGAAAGAAGCAAAAGAAAAGAAAACAAAAACCACTTTGTATGTGACACATAAATATCAAATTCAATGACGGTAGATGGAGTTTGAGGCTTTCTTTTCTGCAGAGGACATGTGTTGGGGAAACCTGTCCTCTATCGCCTCAGCTCAAGTACAGCTGTCATTTGTCAACTTGTGTCGAACTTACACAAGCCTTGTCCTCACTCTGTGGGACTGAAACACTTGTGTTCTGGCTGCCAGTCACCATTGCCACCAGGAGAAAAGTGACACATTGCACTCAAGGGATTTTACAATAAAGAAGCAAGGATCACTGCCATTTTTCAATAAAACTTTGCAGTGTTGAGGGTGGAACCTAAGACCTCCCTCACAGGGATTACAGGCAAGTGCTCTACCACTGAGCTACATCTGAGCCCTTCCAGCAAGACTGCCTAGGAGCTTGGGATTTGTCAACAATCTGGCTTCACATGTACATTTTCAAACTGGAGAAGGGTTTGTTGGTGCTGTGGGGACAATGGGAGCTGTGAGGCTGCACTCACCTCTCCTTCTCTGCAAAATCATTTTGCAACTTCTGTTCCTTTTCCAGAGCAATCGTCTCAGCCTGGCTCTTCAGAGTCTGCTCGTATTCTCGTATTTTCTCCTTAAGTGCTTTTATCGTAACCTCTATAGAATGAAAGACCAAAAAACCAACAGTAAGGGAAGCGGTTCCTCATAGCTGGGTGAACCAAGCTTTTGTAACCTGCTGGGATCGCTGTATTTTAAACTTGAGCTTGTCCACGCTGACACAAAATCAATGGTTATGAGTCCCTTTGGGGACCTTTTACTCCCTCAATGTGAAATTGAACTTGTAGTATTCAAGTTGGGGAGGATCAATGGGTTTTGCCAGGAAGGATTGTGGTGGTCCCTCCAGCACACTTAGAAATGGGGGAAAGAGATGGTAAAACATAATATTGTCTTGCTGATGCATTTTAAGTTGGTACTCTACAGAGGGCAGACTAACAAAGTTTGGGTGGGTTTAGAGACTTTACTACATGGAAAGGGTACAAACATTTTGGAAGGAGTCAGACACAGCCATCATCAGCCACCAAGGCAGATTTGCTGTTGTTTCTTGTGGGATGGAAAAGGCCAGGCACTGTGGCTGAGTGTCACTTACTGAACTGGGGAAGGGAAAAAACACCTTAGAGTTTGGGTGTTGGTGTTCACTCTGCCCTGGCCACCTGCTTTGGTGGATGAGGGCTCCATATATAGAGCTGATACTGTGGGATGTGGGAAAAAGACACTCAGGTGTTTGGGAGGAGCCTGGAAGTGCTCTTTGGCAAAGGATGCCTGAGGAGGGGTCACTTGCAGGTCCAGCTGGAGTGTGTCAGCAGGGCCAAGGCAGCTCTAAGAAGTGTCTTCCCACCCATGATAAACTGATAGCAGTCATTTCAGTTGTTTGAGCTGAGGACATCCAAGCAGAGAAAATGAATGGACCTAACCACTTGTACCCCTCCATTTTCATAGTCATCCTTGTGGGACTCTGAGCATTGTGATACAAGCCACAAGCAGTGGAGCTTGAAGGCATACTTGAGTTTCTTTGTATTCCCAGAATCTGGTCCAGGTAGTTGAGGTAATGAGTGGAGAAGCAGAAACTGGCAGGCCAGATAGGGTTTGTAGCCCTCGCTTTCCACAGCCCCATCTTTGAGGCAATAGACACTCACTGAAAACAAGTTAGGTCTGGAGTGGTGGCAGGTGCCTGTAATGCCAGCACTGATGGGAAGAGAGTTATTAATTGAAGGTTAGTCTGAACTTCATTGTAAGTTTGAGGGTAGACTCAAATACAAGGCAAGTTTGAGGCCAGCATACGTTATATGGTGAGTCTGAATGCAGCCTGAGTTACAGAATGAATCTGAGGTTAGCCACGGCTGTTTCAGACTTGTCAATACACTGAGTTTGAGGCCAGTCTAAGCTACATGATGATTTGAGGTTAGCGTGGGTCAGGTAAAACCCCTGTCTCAGAGGCAGCACAAAGGGCATGCCACTGGAGCTAAAGGTAAAAAGAACTAGGAGACTTTCTCTAAGTATGTGCAACAAACCAGACGTGCACATACTTATCTGTCACCCAGGCACAGGGCATTTTGAAAGAAACAAATCCTATTGGCAATTGCTGCAGAGGGTTGCTGGGGTAGAGAAAAGTCTTGAAGGATCCCAGCTTCATGGACCTAACAACTTTCTTCTAATCAGGACAATGTATCGCCTGTGGTCCCAAAGGCCATCATAGTCTCAGTAGAGCCAGATTCAAGTGGGATCTGATCCCAAATTTTCTGCATCCCACCATGGATCCAAGCTCCAGTCAGTGTATGATCCCAGCTGGGCCCCAGAGAAGAGCCAGGGGCCTGCTGCCTCACACTGCAGGCCTGTCTGTCTTAGAGCTCTTCTTACATCATTCCAGCTTCTTACTCCATCTTCCCACCCACAGTACCCACAAGTCTGTCTCCAACATTCTCTAAGGCTTTAAAAAGGATGCTCTTCACAACCCTAGTCATTTAGCTTTTGATTAGTTTCCTAAAAGCTCATTAAATAGCAGGGCAGGTAGAGGAGCCAGTCAGGTTGATGCCCCTCCCTTCAACCTAAGTCTTCATCTATGTCTAAAACAAAACCATGACGACACATAGACACACAAGAAATCTGGGAGTTGCTTTATAAACCTTGTGACTGCTGTTGAATTTTTTTGTTTTGTTTTCTTCAACACAAGGAAGTCAGGAAGCTCTGGGGTTTTGTTTTGCTTGTTCTTATTTTTTTTATTAATGAAGAATTAAACCCAGGGCCTTGATGACACAAGGCTGGGCAAACACTCAATCACTGAACCATACCTCCAAGTCCTCACTGGAAGACTTTCAACTATTGAGCTATATATCCTCAGCTCTCTTTTTGCTTTTTATTTGTGAGACAAGTTCTCACTAAATTGCTCAGAGTAACCTTGAACTCAATCTGTAATCTAGGCAGGCCTTGAACTTTGGATCCTCCTATCTTGGTCTCTGAAGTAGCTGGATTTGCAGCTTACACCAGGCCAGGACAGGTTCTAGGATTTTGAACACACCTGGCTTTTAGGTATAGGACAAATTTCTTTATGTTTGTTCCCATCAGGAAAAGCCTTTGCCTCCCCTGCCTTGTGATGCAAGGTAGCACTGCCAAGAGTCTGTTTCTTTGTTTTTTCCCCATGAGGTCCATAATGAATAGATGAGGTTGACATGGGAAGAATGGTGTGTAAGCATTCAACTTGCAAGGATGAATCTTGTCTGGAGCCTTAATGGGTCGGTAGCAATTACTAAATGACTTACTGTGTATGACCCTTTGATCAGGAGCTGGCTGTCTGACAGGTGTCGCCCAGAGGCGACACATCAGTCTTTGAAAAGACAGATCCTATCACAAGATGATACAGGAGAATTTTCAAAGAACCCTGATCCGGTCCAGACCAAGAGCAATAAAAATCCCATGTAGTTATTGTGGGAGGAAAAGCTTAGCTGTGGCATAGTCAGGCAGTGTCATTATCTTTGTTTAAGAGATTCGGCTGCTTGCCCCACCCTGGCATCATGAGGAGGGTAACAATTATAGCCAGTCCCAACACAATGAAGAAGGCAATTAAGGGGGTGGGGTGGGGGGCAGAAAGCAAAGCTAGGCAGGCATTTGCCACCAACCTTGATTTTTCACTTCAGCAAACTCCTTGTTGTATTCTTCTAGCGTTTCCCTAAGTTTCTGGTTCTCTGTTTCAATGTCGTGTAGGCGCTGCACTTTTATTTCCAGCTGTTGCCCGAGGTCCAGGGCTGGTACAGGATCTACACAATGGGAGAAGACAGATCAGCATACTACACCCAGACCCTCATCCAGGAAACACTCCACCACCAAGTCATACTCTCTGCCCCTCACTGGTGGGTTCTAGGCAATCCTCTTCTGCTGACATAACCCCAGTTCCTTACTGGGAGTGTCGAAGTAGGTGTTGTACCTCTGAGCCACACCAGCCCCTTACTGGCAATTCTAGGCCAGTATCCAGAAGTCACCTCCTTTGGTAACTGGCTAGGTGGGTATTTTGATAAAGAAGGAACTCAGCCCAAGATCCTAAACATGTGAAAATGTGGTAACAACAGGACTCACTGGTATTTGCTAACTCTGGTGGGTGTGGTTTTATAAGGATTTTCATCCATTGGTCATATGGAAAGAGAAACACAGGTGTACTGAAGGGGAGGGAGGGGCTGCAGGGAAGCCTATCTTTTCTGCAGAGCCTTCCCTGGAGGATACTAGTCCATGGAAAGATGCCTCTATTTAAACATGTTTAGGAAGTTCATGGACCTGGAACTAAGGGAGAAGCAAAGGCCACAGAACACTTGTATGGACAAGACATTTTCTTGCAAGAGTCTCACAATGACACAGTATGGAAGTAGCACTGAAGTTCAGTACAGAGGAAGGGCTGGCCCGAGTTTATCTGACTGGCCCAGAGAAAGTTGACCTAAGCCTGCTGACTCCAGGTGATGATGACTATTCCATACATGAAAACTCCTGGAGAAAGGAAAGTACTCTTGGACTCTGTAAGGACATGGTCCTTTATTTTATTTTGTTTTACTTTGTGAGGCAGAGGCTCATATGTACCATGCTGGCTTTGAACTTCTGATCCGCCTAGTTCCATTTCTCAAGTGCTAGGATTAGAGGCATATAATACTACACTTAGATCATGTGCTGCTGGGTATCTGATCCAGCACTTTGTGCATCAGTCTTTGTGCCTGTTGAAATGCGTGCATGTTCTATCCTCTGAACAACATCTACAGCATGACATGGTCTTCTTTCCTTCCTTCCTTCCTTCCTTCCTTCCTTCCTTCCTTCCTTCAACTGCCATCCTCCATTACTGAGATGATGGGTATTAAGAACAGTCAGAGGTGTGCAGCTGATGGTTCTAAGACTGGAGACCCCTATAAAAGCACAGCTGGGGGTGACCCAGCATTACCCCTACAGCAGGCCTATGGCCAGCCAGCTAGGAAGTCACCAAATTCCCCAATAGAATACAGAGAGCAGAAGAACATCTGGACCAGTCCTGTGAGAGCTTGTGGACAAAAGAACATGCTGTCTGGGGCTGAGGAGGTGGCTCAGTCAGTAAAGAGCTTGGTGTGCAAGCATTAAGAAGTTAAGTCTGAGTCCCCAGAACCCACATAAAAAGCCAAATGTGCCACTAGTATTCCCAATAAAAGGGTGGAGACAGAGGGGTCTCTCTAGCTCACTGCCAGCTAGCTTTGCAGCACTCTGAGTTCCAGGCCAGCGAGGGACATTGGCTCCTGAGGAGCACCACCTGAAGCTGACCTCAGGCTTCCACAGGGATTTTTTTCATTCACAGCCATACAGCCTGGCCCCTCTCCCCCCAAAACAATGATGTCTGTCATCAGATTTACGTCTATAGTTGGATAAAGCAGACATACAATATATAGGACTGGCTTTTGGTCTCTAGCTTTCTCATGAATTCTCACCAGAAGACAGACAGACAGATACTAAACACTATGGGTCAATTTGATCTTCATTTTCCTTCTGTCCAGGAGGCAATTACAACCCACCTGCTGGGCCTCAGGGGAACACACCCTTTGGAATTCTGAGAGTAGAAGAATACCCAAGTCACAGGGCTTAGAAAGATTACTGAATCTATTTCTGGCAGGGGCGCCAGCCTAGCCTGGGAATGGCTGTGGAGATTTAGTCTCCTCTCAAGGAATGCTAAACACCACACATGGCAGATCAGTGAGGGTATATATTCAAGAGCTCACTTAATTTTCCAATGCCAGAGTCATTAATTTTTCAGACCACCCTTGGTTCCTGGAAGCAGGGCTGGCCCACCATGGCTCTGTGAGTGCTGCTTCAGAGCCTGGGATTCTCTGCGATGTCTATGTGTTCACAGAGCTTACTCCACATGTCACTGATGTGTGGAGCTGAAGTCTGCAGCCCCAAGGGAGCCCAGCATCATGTGACTGTGAGGCCTACTGGGCACTTATGCGGCCTAAATACACAGTCCCCGCCTGCCTCCCTTTCTCATTCATGACTTTCATTATTATTTCAATCGGCATTAAAATATTTATGTTAGGTTAGATTGCTAGAGCTATTTTGGGAACATAGTTCTTTTAAGCAGAAGTGGCAATAAGAAAAATGGAATTCTCAAAGCACCCCAGGTTCTTTTTTTTTTTTTTTTTTTTTTTTTTAAATTGCAGTATTTTCCCAGGAAACCTGGATCCCTCTTTGGCCTCTATGTCTTCAGGCTGGAAAAACGACTTGAGAGAAATGGTGATATGTCCACAGCTTCCTTTATATAGAAGGACAATTTGAACTTGATCCAGGTCAGGGATGGAGAGGGGAAGGTGCTGTGATTGGGGAAAACTCTATGAATGTTCACTGATAATTGTCTTTTCTAGCACAACTGCTAGCACCAATTTGCCTTTTCAAGAACTAAGGTTGCATTTTATACACATGTGTATGTGTACCCATGGACAAGGTATTAATGATGGGTACCTTCCTCAATCTTTCTCTACATTGTTGAGACAATGTCTTTCATTTGGCCTGTGTTAATCTGATCTTCATCTTCCTTCTTTCCTTCTTTCCTTCCTCCCTCCCTCCCTCCTTTCCTAAGTAGGCTAGGCTGGCTGGTCAGCAACTCCCAGGAACTGTTTCTACATCCCCAGCTCTGGAAATTACAAACTCACAGGAGCTTTTTACATGGGTACTGGGGATGGAACTTGGATGCTCATGCTTGCCAAGCACTTTCCTGACTGAGCCATCTCACCAGGCCCCTCCAGGCCACTCCTATTTAAAGGCCAGGACCCAGCGTGTCTGTCTCTGATGAAAAAATAGCTTCCATCTTGCTATTTATTCAGCAGGAATCCAGTAACATATGAAGAGAACACACATGTTATGTAGCAAATAATAATCAACTAAGCCTTTAGACAAATTCTCAGCATGCCCCGCTGTAAATGGAAGTTCTGGCACTCTTGTAATTATTCATTATGGCATCTACATTTAATTTAACAGTATTAAAGTTAATGTCAAAGTAGCAAAACTGGCTACAGAATGAAAAAGGAACTCAATGTTCAAATACTTTGATGCATTAAACTCCCAACTTTACGATGGTACATTGCATGACTAAAGGCCTACAGCATTGGAATATTGTTTTGGGATATGTAAAGTACCTTTTAGGCTTAATTTTTATTATGTGTATTAAAGGAACGGCTAATTACCACATGATGGTATAATAGCCCTAGCATGTTCGAGCTGGAGACCAAAACAATGAACTTCAGCAGGCCAAACCCCGACCTGCATGTTAAGCTGGGGAAATCATAGCTTTCTGTCTCTTTAATGATTTCCAATGCCATTTAAACTCCACATAAGCATTGTGAGGTCTGGGGCTGTACGTCATGAGCCTCTGGTTTCAGCAGTTCAATTACAGAATTGTCTGAGGGAGGAGACAGAACACACCCATAGACAGAAGAATAACATGCAAAGTTCTGTAAGCCACCTGCCCAGCCTCCAACCCAACATGCTTTGCCACTATCCCCATCCACCCACCATGACAAACTCAGAAAGCATTTTACGATCAACTGATAAGTTAATTCCTGAAGCACGCTCAGAGGTAGTGTGTAGTTCGTTATGCAACTCAGGACTTAAACAGCATAATTATGTAACAAACAACCCTATCACCTGGATTTATTCAGCACATTTTGCTAAGCGCGGTAACATTAGCTCATTAATTCTAGTCATCCCTGCAGAAGCTGGGGGAGGGCATGCTGTGATGTGTCAGGCGCTGGCATCTCCCCCAGGGACAGGGATGGGAAGGGAAGCTGGCCAGGCCAACAGGTATGCAAAATGCTAATTAAGAATGCTACTTCCAGAGCCAGCAGCCACCTCAATTATACTGTCTCTTCATGCACTAATTTAACAAGGGTTTCCTAAGTGGCTACATGATCTGGGAAAGGCCAGGGTTGGGTACTGCAAGGGACACTGAGCCAAGTCAGCAGGAAACAGCCTCTCTGGAGAGGTAGCCCAGGTACATCAAATATCAAGAGTAAAATAAAACATAACAAAAAACCCAGCCACACTAAAGATCGGATGAGTGGAAGATTGCCTATGAATGGGCAAAGAGGGGCTTTTGTTATTAAGAGGAGACAGAAGTAGGTGCCTGAATAGACATGGGGAGTTAGGAGCACAGTGCCAGGCATGAGCAGAACCATCCATCACCACCAAAGTAACTGATAACATTAATGAGAATGGCAGCAGGGCAGTTCTGGGTGCTAAAGGGATAGGTGATAAACAAGACTAACACCTTGTTCTCCAAGGCTTGCCAAAGGGACTGGAGGTATAGACCCCAAAATACATTCATGAAAAACTGACAGGACAGGAGAAAAAGGAAAAAAAAATCCATAACAATGGTCTCAAATTTCAAATCTCCATTCACATTTATTAGTAACATAAACAGATAAAAAATTTTCCCCTGTGGTGCTGGGGAAGGAACCCAGAACCTTGAGAATGCAAGGCTAGGGCTCTACCACTGAGGCATGCTCCCAGCTCTTTACAGTTGGGATTCTAGGCAGATGCTCTTCCACTAAGAAACCCAGTAAAAAGTCAGTATGGGGCCGGGCGTTGGTGGCACACTCGGGAGGCAGAGGCATGCGGATCTCTGTGAGTTCGAGCCAGCCTGGTCTCCAGAGCGAGTGCCAGGATAGGCTCCAAAGCTACACAAAGAAACCCTGTCTCGAAAAAACCCAAAAACCCAACCCCCCCCCAAAAAAAAAGTCAGTATGGATGCAAAAGCCTGAAGAAC